TGTACGGATAAAAAGGTACTAATTTAGGAGGCTATGGACCTATTGGCTTTGGCCTGCAGGAAGAAAGATGGCGGAAGCACTGATAACAAGAGCGCTGACAGTGAAGAATATGTCAGTGTAGTAAGTGCTGCTACTGGACCCGTTAAACACCTGACTGCGGTTGACGGGAACGTGAAGTCTCAGCTGACATTAACGAGGAATGAAGTGTCGCTTGCTATTGATATCAGTAGTCATACACCTCCAGTCGAGATAGAAGATCCGGATAAAATTGTCACCGTTCCACATAGTTTAGGTGTGGCTGTCCTGAGTGGTGACAAATGGACTTCAGCAAGGACAAAAAGAAATGGGAAGAAAAAGGCTGTGGGCGAAACGCAGCTGGTCAGCAAGGCATTGGAAGGGATGTTATCAGGAGAAAAATCCTTACTGCGTGACAAGACAGATCTCTCTGAGAGATCGGTCATTTGTCATAAGAGAATCTTCAGATACAGAACCAAAGGCGAGATTTGAACACGATCACAATCATATTAAGACATCATTAAGTAAACTACTCCCAGATACAGTTTCAGGAATCAGTATTTGTAAGCTTTATAGAATAGGAAAAAAGGTGGATTCCAAAAGTCCTCCGACAAACCGCCTTTTGAAGGTTACATTCAACACGGTGGAAGAAAAAAACTTGATTCTAAGTAATTCATGTAAACTGATAGGATCCGGAATATATGTCCGTGAGGATCTCAGCCTAGCAGATCGTATTAAGAGACGAGCTGCAGAAGCGGAAATAAATGAGCGTCGCCAAAACGGTGAAAGAAACCTCGTTCTTAAGGGTTTTCAAATTGTAAAAGTTCGGAGCAAAACGATCCCCAAGCCATTCTGGGTGGCAAGGGAAAACTCTCCATAGACTTAAAGGCATGCTACACAAATGCTCGCAGCCTTCTAAATAAAATAGCGGAGCTCAAGTCTGTGGTGGATAAAGAAAACCCGGACGTTATTGCTGTCGCGGAAACTTGGTTAACGTCAGAAGTATTAGACAGTGAAATCCAGTTGACTGGTTTCATAACCAGTAGGGCTGATAGATTAAACCGAAGGGGAGGCGGGTTTATTCTGTACACGGAAAGTACCCTAACCATAAGATTAGCTGAGACAGTAGCACATGTTTCAGGGACATATGAACTGGTGAGATTTAAGTTGAAATGCCGACGGCAAGATATTGAACTAGTTTAGTATATCGCAGTCCAGAATGTGTAGTAGATGATTTTATCCTAAGTAAACTTAAGTCCTGGTGTAACAACGGTAAAAGTCTTGTAGTAAGCGACTTTAATGCACCACATATAAACTGGGTTAACTTAGAAGTAGGGTCATTCATATCGTCGTTCGACTGTAAACTATTAGAAACCTCGATTGGATTAGCATTATTCCAACACATTAGAGATCCCACAAGATACGACTAAAGAAACTCTTCTTCTTTTTTAGATTTAGTTTTCACACACGGTGATGACGCTGGTAAGATGGCTTTTCTCCCACCACTTAGGAGAAGTGACCATGCACTTATCTTATTCAATGCTGAGATTGCCTGTCAAAAAGTTGCACCGGCCCGTCCCAACATATGGAAGGCAGATATGCAGGCAATTAACTACCCAGCATCGGCTGAAAACTGGGAAATTGACTCAAAGGCATCAGTACAAGAGGCATGGACTCTAATCAGGCAGTTGAACAATCGGATAACTCAACCAAACATACCTTGGACTGTCCCAAAGTAAAAGAAGCACGGCCGTCCCTGGATAGGCTGTGCTATTCGACGCTTACTAAGACAAAAGAAGAAATGCTGGGATGTTGCCATCCACCTTGGCACAGCAGGTACGATGGAACGCTACAGATCGATAAGAAACGAGTGTATAACAAAAATTCGGGGAACTCAAAGAAAATACGAAATGCAGCTGGCACAATCTGCACTCAAGCAGCTCAAGAGAATATTCTCGTAAATAAACTACAGAACAAGGCTGCATCATTGGATTCCCAACCTAATTAAAGTAGGAAGTGAATCTGAAATGATAGAGGAAGATCAGGAAAAAGCAGAGGCTATGGCTGAATATTTTGGGGCAGTTTTCACTCAGGGACCTCCTTTAGAGAAAGAACCAGACCCAAATACAGAGTTCTGGATTCATAATTTAAACAACGGAAACTCAGTGGATGTTGTCTACATAGATTTCAGTAAGGCTTTTGACAAGGTGCCAACTAATAAGCTGCTATTGAAGTTGGAAAACCTTGGTATTGCCGGACCTCTTTTAAAATGGATTAAAGATTTCCTAATAGGTCGTAGACAAAAAGTAAGAATAAATTCCAAGTGCTCCATCTGAAGACCAGTACTTAGTGGAGTACCCCAAGGTTCCGTCCTAGGTCCTTTACTTTTAATAATGTACGTTAATGATCTTACAAGTACAGTACAGTCTCCAATGTTATTATACGCTGACGATGTGAACGTTTGGCGAGTAATAACTGGAGATAAAGACGCATTTACTCTTCAGGCGGACTTAAATAATATGATAAACTGGTCTAAAGAGTGGCTGATGCCAGTCAACTCGGAAAAGTGTGTCTACATGCACTTGCGGGATTCAAAGGTTAATACATACAACATAGGGGATGTGTCATTACCCGTAGTCCGGTCTCATAAAGATCTAGGGGCGACAGCGAGCAATGATCTTAAGACGACGGCCCATTGCCGGGAGGTCGCAGTTAAGGGGTTACGAACCCTCTGGGCTTTAAAAAGGACATTCACTAAGTTAGATACTACCATGTTCACAACAGTATACACATCCTTAGTGAGAACTACGCTAGAGAACTGCATTCAGGCTGCAAGCCCCTACTAAAAAGGTGTCTTGGACATACTATAAAATATACAGAGAGCTGGTACCCGTGCAATTCCGGAACTCTGGGGTTTATCATCCAAACTGGACCTCTTTACTCTGTCATATCACAGACTAAGGGGAGATCTAATTTTGATGTACAGAGTACTGAAGAATGATTTCGGACCTAATTTATTCTCTCTCTTTCTTTTCACTAGATCGGGACATCTCAGAGGACATAGTAGGCGAGTAGAAAAGCCAAGAACGAACAAAATACCAGTGGCATACAGGCTTTAACACCAAGTCATCAATACTTGGAGCCTGCTGACTGAAGCAGTGGTGTACGCACCTTCAATTTACTCTTTTAAGCGAAGACCGAACACTCACAGAAGCATACTAGAAAAGGAATAAAATAGGCCGTAGGCCTTCTGTTCTTACTACACAAATCTGAATCTGAATCTAACCTGATACAAACGCACCTATTAAGATCACAGGATATACAAACCAACAAACAATTTCCAAACTATCTACACCAAGTGCAGTCGAGTGGCTAAACGAAACAACGAAAAGCGATTCCACAGAACTCTTTTGGTGCATGCAAGCTTGGAATAAAAATTTTTGGATATTGGACAAATTACAGACAGCGCAATGTGTAAATCATCAAGGCCAATCATCACATTGGCTCTATTGAAATTTTGGTTGGCCCCATGAGTACTCCGTATTAGGGTTGCTTCGCCTAACAGAGTGACGCGTACATTCTAAAATCCTACCGCTCAGTCGTCATTCTACACGTCATTTTGTGTTAAACATTAACAAAGTTTGGTTTTTATGACATTTTTTATAAACAATATCAAACATGACAGAACAACTAGACATAACGTTTAACTATGCCAACAACTAAAATCGCACAAGAACTGGTAGAGATTTCTAAATAATATAATAATAATAGTTGTTCTGCCATATTGTCGTTTAAAAGTCCTCAAATGGTCTACATCACTACATGTTTTTACACTAATAGATGAGTGAAATAACCCAAACCAACAACCTTAAGTTTTAATGTATGTTAAGTCTTTACAAGTAAATTTAGGTTTTCCATAGGTATCATTATGTTTGCAAGTGCTAGTGTATAAGATCCTAGTCAAGAACGTATATTATATGTATGCATACACCTCCTGTTCTAGATTAAGTCTGTCAGTATACTGATTATGTTCAACGCTATTCAGAAAAATAGGTATGTTAGACTACTTGGTGTTTAGATGAACATTCACGGAAAAGATAATCAACAATAGTTGAGCGGAGTTTAACGATGACCATTAATGAATTGTTCCTCAAGTTTTAAAATAGGATACCTAACCCATTTGAATCCTCTTGGCTCTACAAGTTGTGATTATCAGTTGTCAGTTTTATGTTCATCTGAATCGCAGTTATCCCTCCTTTATTTCTGAGTTACCTTACCCAACCTCCTATCATCACCTTTCAAACTATTGCATAACTAATACCTAAAGCTCTTGGCACCTGTGTTACTAATGCAACGTTTTTTTTCTCACTTGAATTTACTTGGTATGTTTGGCCTTTAAAATGATAAGTAACCATTCACTAGTGAGTTTTAGTGATATACCTTCTCTGGCGGTATAAGTAACGATACAACGTGACTATTCTCTAAAACTAAATGCACATGATTATTTTCGAAAAACAAAACAAAAATTGAGTATTGGTGGAACAGTTCTTAATTTTAATCGAAGAAAGCTCCCCATTGTAACCAAACACGTCTTTCAGTAACATTCTCAGTATTCTTCCACAATGGGCGTTATAATAATTAGACTTGGGACTTATCGTTATAAACTTATTCCTGATGAGCATCAGTCGTAGGATCAGGCACATATATGCGTCGGTCCAAGTTGCCATACCTCGTTAGCGCAACAATATGAACACCAATCATAACTTTGTAAACAAGGCATCTAATCGACAAAATCTGTTCACGAACATAATAAGCTGATTTTATATTTTCCAACTTACGCTAGACACTAATTCCTCATGCAGTATTCAAGCCAAATAAGATAAACATCTTTTATTTATAGACCGGCGACAGTATTTTTTCGATATTTTACCACTTAATTATGCTATTTCAACCAATTATTGGTTATTTCTGTTCACAGCACTGTCATGTCCAAGGGTTTTATCGACAAACTTCGTATCTTTGTCAGAGCTGGTAGTGGGGCTGCAGGTAGTCCACCAATTAAAGGCCGGGGAGGAAATGGTGGGAGTGTATTTCTAGAAGCCGATGAAAATCAAACACTCCAAAATCTGTTTATGGCTAACCCGACGAAACGTTTCATGGTAGTTTTAATACATTTTTCTGCTAAATTTCGTTAAATTTTATCAGTTATTATTACTGATTTGTTAGACGATCGATTTTATTTATTTATCAAGTAGCAGTTAATGTAATCATTTTTGAGCCACATTGTATGTGATTGTTAGTAGTACTGTCAAGCTCCCAAAACCCAAAGGAAGGTGAGATAGGGTTCGAAGCTGGCTGAAAGCTGAGTACCTTAGTCACTAAAAATCGACGATATTTTCATCCACGGGACACATTCTTATCGATATAGATGTGCTGAAATTTGAATTTGTTATTTTTATCTTCTCTTGAAACTCATCTTTCCTTCCCAAGATTTAATTGGCCTTCGTTGTTTTAAATGTGTGACGATTGGTTGAGAAGTTCCGATACTTTTTGTTCCTGTCTATGCATGTCTGTTTGTTACTATTTATTTGAATCCCTCAAATTTCAACCAATTAGGTTATGGGTATAAACCATGGTGTGTATATTGATGTCCAAGCAAACATCTATTATCATAATCAATCTTCGTATCATAGGTCTGAATAAGATTAGTGTGTGAGCCATTCTATTTATTGACGTTGTTCTATTTAATCTTAAAAATAAATGCAATTATGACGGATTTGTATGTATTACTTCCGATTTGATCAATTCGCTACATTTTACTCAGTGATTGAAGTGTGACAGCAGTTACTGTTCAGTGTATAATTCGCGAATTTAATTCTTTTGAAAAGAATAAAACAATAATTTGAGCTGAAACTATAGAGAGATTCATGTATTTAAAGTCAGTAACATGTATTTTGTCATTGTTCTAACTCATCTACAAACGCGAAGTGTTAATACAAGTACTAAATTCTAGGAAAGATTAAACCATAACAGAAAGATTGAAAGCAAAACTAAAATAGATGTAATTTTAAAAAATTTACCGATAATAATTAAATAAAAGTGAAGAAAAAACAACAACAACAAAAACACAGAAACATACCCATTAAGGGAATTAGGGCCAAGGAAGGATGAGAGGTTGGACAAATCGTTTCTGCACGCAAAGTTCAGGCTTGAGTTTGTGGATTGCGAGTGTCTCTGGGGTGCATAAAATATCGATTCGAACCCCTTCGATCGAGTTCCTTTGACTCTGTAGACTACCTTAAATGAAGAGTCCTTTGGAGCGATGTGTCCACAGTTGATTAAGTGCTCCTGTATCGAACTCGTGATTGTTTTTCATTGCCCTTTTAAGAGCCAGGCCGGATAATGTTCCGAGATGCGTTTGGATAATGATCGCTTTGTGCGGCCTATGTAGCATGCCCCACATGACCAAGTAAATTTATATATACACACTGAAGTGGCCCAAAGCGGGAGTTTGTCCTTAACACACTCCAGAATGGTAGGTCGGCTAGAGAAAATGATTCGGAGCTTAGCTGCGTGGAATTTTTTATTCAATGACTTCGAAATCCATTTATTTAGGATTTCGGCAGCCGTGTCTCCTTTAAATTCCATATTCATAAATAGAGTTTTCTTTTCTACTGTCGATGCTTTGTCATGAAGTCTATGTGCCAAATTTCTATCAATGAATCTCGGTGGATAACCATTTTTGGTGAGGGTCTGTCGAAGATGAAATAGTTCCCCATCTATCGTGTCATTGGAATAAATTCGCTTGATCCTCGAGGATAAAGAATAAATTAAGTTCCTTTTTCTACTTAATGGAACCCAACTATGGAAGTTCGTGTATTGTCCACTCCAAGTAGGTTTTCTATATATCGATCTCTGTAATAAAAAAACCGTCAGGCAATTTTTTTAAACGGATATCAAGAAAATGAAATTCATGGTTTGTCTCTGCTTCTAGGGTAAATTAGATTGATGGGTGACAGTTATTGAAAATATTCAAAATATCATTGAGGTCATTGTCGTCTTCGCAAATAATGAAAGTGTCATCCATATATCTCTTATATAAATGAAACCTCTCAATTATTGGTCGAAGTACCGAGTTTTCTAGACTAGCCGTGAATCAATCAGTCAGGCGAGGACCTAATGGAGAGCCCATTGTAACTCCATCTATTTGTCTATAGAAAGCATCATTAAATCTAAATTGCACGTTGATCGTACATCGCAGAAGTAGTTCTTTAAGGTATTGTTTCGGGATACGCATATCAAGATTATTGTTTTCAATATAGTCACATAAAAAGCAAATGGTTTCTGTGAGGGGAACATTTGTAAAAAGAGAAGTGACATCTAGTGAGAACATTTTCTTACCGGTTACGTTGATATTTCTAACTGAGTCGACAAAGTCAAAGGAATCAAGAGAATTGTATTTGTTGATATGATTTTTAACAGGTTGTAGAATGTCAACTAACCATTTAGCGATCAAGTGATAAGGAGAATTGTTCATATCAATTATAGGACGTAGTGGGACATTGTTCTTATGAACTTTTGGGAGTCCATATAGTCTTGGTATAACGGAGCCCGATGGTTTGAGGTGTTCATAGAGGTCACAATTGATAATAGCCTCACCTTTCATTTTCTTTAAAATTTTAATTAGCATCTGTTCAGTTCTTTCAGTTGTGTCTTTTTGAAAGGTCTCAATAGAGGATTTGACAGGATCAGATAATATCGAAGATATTTTGGTAACATAGTCAGGACGATCCATAAGGACAATTCCTGCACCCTTGTCTGGGCGACATAACACTAAGTCCTGATTTCTCCGAAGAGCAGATAATTGAGATTTATGTTCTTTTGTAAGTAATCGGCTAATTGTAGGTGTTTTATTTACATATTGATTACAACAATCCACAAGTGTTGTTTTGAAATGCTCAAAATCCTTATTAGATACTGGAATAAGGTCATTTGTCTGTCGAATGAGGCTTTCAAACTGGATTTTAGCGTTGAGTTCAATAATGTTAGTAGATGTACTACAAAATACAATAACTAAGAAACCCACTGAGTTCCTTCACAGTCACAGAATCCTTGCTACTCTTCAGATAATTAAAATAACCCATAGTGTTATTCAATAATAAAAAGAGAGAGTGGGTTTCTTAGTTATTGTATTTTGTAGTACATCTACTAACATTATTGAACTCAACGCTAAAATCCAGTTTGAAAGCCTCATTCGACAGACAAATGACCTTATTCCAGTATCTAATAAGGATTTTGAGCATTTCAAAACAACACTTGTGGATTGTTGTAATCAATATGTAAATAAAACACCTACAATTAGCCGATTACTTACAAAAGAACATAAATCTCAATTATCTGCTCTTCGGAGAAATCAGGACTTAGTGTTATGTCGCCCAGACAAGGGTGCAGGAATTGTCCTTATGGATCGTCCTGACTATGTTACCAAAATATCTTCGATATTATCTGATCCTGTCAAATCCTCTATTGAGACCTTTCAAAAAGACACAACTGAAAGAACTGAACAGATGCTAATTAAAATTTTAAAGAAAATGAAAGGTGAGGCTATTATCAATTGTGACCTCTATGAACACCTCAAACCATCGGGCTCCGTTATACCAAGACTATATGGACTCCCAAAAGTTCATAAGAACAATGTCCCACTACGTCCTATAATTGATATGAACAATTCTCCTTATCACTTGATCGCTAAATGGTTAGTTGACATTCTACAACCTGTTAAAAATCATATCAACAAATACAATTCTCTTGATTCCTTTGACTTTGTCGACTCAGTTAGAAATATCAACGTAACCGGTAAGAAAATGTTCTCACTAGATGTCACTTCTCTTTTTACAAATGTTCCCCTCACAGAAACCATTTGCTTTTTATGTGACTATATTGAAAACAATAATCTTGATATGCGTATCCCGAAACAATACCTTAAAGAACTACTTCTGCGATGTACGATCAACGTGCAATTTAGATTTAATGATGCTTTCTATAGACAAATAGATGGAGTTACAATGGGCTCTCCATTAGGTCCTCGCCTGACTGATTGATTCACGGCTAGTCTAGAAAACTCGGTACTTCGACCAATAATTGAGAGGTTTCATTTATATAAGAGATATATGGATGACACTTTCATTATTTGCGAAGACGACAATGACCTCAATGATATTTTGAATATTTTCAATAACTGTCACCCATCAATCTAATTTACCCTAGAAGCAGAGACAAACCATGAATTTCATTTTCTTGATATCCGTTTAAAAAAATTGCCTGACGGTTTTTTTATTACAGAGATCGATATATAGAAAACCTACTTGGAGTGGACAATACACGAACTTCCATAGTTGGGTTCCATTAAGTAGAAAAAGGAACTTAATTTATTCTTTATCCTCGAGGATCAAGCGAATTTATTCCAATGACACGATAGATGGGGAACTATTTCATCTTCGACAGACCCTCACCAAAAATGGTTATCCACCGAGATTCATTGATAGAAATTTGGCACATAGACTTCATGACAAAGCATCGACAGTAGAAAAGAAAACTCTATTTATGAATATGGAATTTAAAGGAGACACGGCTGCCGAAATCCTAAATAAATGGATTTCGAAGTCATTGAATAAAAAATTCCACGCAGCTAAGCTCCGAATCATTTTCTCTAGCCGACCTACCATTCTGGAGTGTGTTAAGGACAAACTCCCGCTTTGGGCCACTTCAGTGTGTATATATAAATTTACTTGGTCATGTGGGGCATGCTACATAGGCCGCACAAAGCGATCATTATCCAAACGCATCTCGGAACATTATCCGGCCTGGCTCTTAAAAGGGCAATGAAAAACAATCACGAGTTCGATACAGGAGCACTTAATCAACTGTGGACACATCGCTCCAAAGGACTCTTCATTTAAGGTAGTCTACAGAGTCAAAGGAACTCGATCGAAGGGGTTCGAATCGATATTTTATGCACCCCAGAGACACTCGCAATCCACAAACTCAAGCCTGAACTTCGCGTGCAGAAACGATTTGTCCAACCTCTCATCCTTCCTTGGCCCTAATTCCCTTAATGGGTATGTTTCTGTGTTTTTGTTGTTGTTGTTTTTTCTTCATTTTTATTTAATTATTATCGGTAAATATTTTAAATTACTATTTTGCACTTTAAACTCTAATCATTTATTATTAATAAAATAAATGTTGGAAAGTTGTAATGGGATTTCGTTGTAAATCGTACAAGGGATTGACAATTTGCGATCGCCCATTCCATAGAAAAAGTTCTTCCCAAGTGATCACGAATGGAAACTGACTTGTCAAGTTAAAAGCGTGACCTCAGAGTTCTTGAAACAGTTGCTTAAGTCCGGGTCCATATTTTCTGAACCTTACCCGTGATACGCGAAACTTTTAGTGAAATGTATGGTGTGTGTACCTTTTTTTATTAGCTATTTCACACAAACCAATATCCGGCAACAGATTTAAAAATACTGACAATGGGTCGTTTGAACCTATTAAAGTGTTCATCAACATTTTTTAAAACTCTTATAGCATTTCAATTCACCCACTTTTGTTAAAATAGTCAGATGATACCTTTAGTTACAATCAAGAAAATACGACCCAACAACGAGTGTATGGTTTTCTACTTGATCATTGACTTAACATCATTTATATTCCTAGAATCGTGGCGGGGGTGTTGTTTACGAAAATGAGAGGACGAAAAGCGAATGTCCGGCGCTTTAACCGGATTCCAAACTGATGGTGCACATGGGCTCCAGTATCCTGCGGGAACAAATAGCGTATGAACCAATTGTTGGTCACCGGCTTCCATGCGACTGCATCTCCTTACGATGCTCCACTGCCTTGTGGATCAGACCTTCAGGTCGAAGGCTCGGGGCGTGGCCCTCTAAGAAAACCACCTGTTTCGGTCTGGGCACCCGGACAGTATCACAGCCCTCACACATATCGAATGAGATTTGTGTGGCGCATATGTATTTGGTGCCTCCTTTTACCAATATCTATGTGTTAAAATAAAAAATTCCTAGAATCACATACCCATCGTAGTTTCTCATAAAACAAATAGGAATTACCAATCTAATTTTTGATACAATTGATTGTTACTTGTATTATTTAAAGTTAATTTACTTTTCAAATGTTCTTGACTCATAGTTACGTTACCTATTTATTCCTTTAATACACACAATTCTGACACAACTAAGCTCATAGTATCGGTAAGACTGTTATATTTAACCACCTTTCAACCTTCAGAATATTTAATTGCTCTTTGTTCACTAACTTGTCTTCAAAGAAAATATAGTAGAAAACCCATATGGATTATTTAATGTTTAAATCTACAACATTGTTGTTTGATCAGAAGTAGACGAGACAACTTTAGTTCCTTTTTCCCGGAAGCCTCAGGATTCTATTGTTGGTGTATACAACAAATATCACAGAACTTCTACGATCAGAAAAAAACACATCAAATAATAATTTGCAACTATATACACTTTATGGTTAACAGTTAATGTTCTTTCCTTTAGTAATATGATGTTCATGTATGACTGGTTTCTGGTTAAATTTGCCCTTAATTAATATGAAACATTCTTCTAATCATTCATCTATTTGTACATTTATAGGCTGGACATGGAACAGAGGCAAGTAAACGTCGTGGTTTAGTTGCTGGTCTAGATGGTGAAGACTTGACTATTCGTGTTCCTGCTGGAATAACTGTATTGTTTGGAGGTCAAGGGACATCATCATCTAGTGGATCAGAACAACGAATACTTGGAAATTTGGATCAAGTCGGTCAAAAATTACTTGTAGCACAAGGTGGTATTGGTGGTTTTCACCAGAATGGGTATATTGGCTCACCGGGTCAAGCTCACAGTATCGTCTTAGACTTAAAGGTGATAATTTGTTATCTTTTGATAAGAAGCAATCCAACCACTCATTAAATATTATCCCACCCTTTGATAATCAACATAAACTCAATTGTTTTCAGAATCATAGATTAAACTGTCAGCGATAACTGACATCCGACTATTCTTATTGAAGACGATCTTTTTGTTATGAAACCAGGGGAGAATTCACAGTTGGTACTCATTGAATTCATGGTCGATTTTGGGTTTAGAAATAAAATTAAGACAACTGTCTACTTCTGTTGAGTGATTCTGTTATATTGTAAAGCTAAATATTTATCTTGCATAGGTTTAAGTTAGTTTTTGTCGACTCAACAAAGGTTATTTATGTTTTGACTAATCTAGAACCATAAATTTAAGGTAGGTTTAGTTTTTTTAAAATTCGGATATTATGTTCAGCTACTCATTAATAAGTTGTTTATTTATTTAAACACATAAACATTGGTACGAGGAGGCACCAAATAGATATGCGCTGCATAAATCATTCGATTTGTATGAGGGCTGGGATACTTCCCGGGTGCTGAAACCGAAGCCGGGGGTCTTTGTTAGGGGGCCACACGCAGAACCTTCGACCTAAAGGTCCAATCCATGATGCAGTGGAGCAACGTCAGGAGATGCATTCGCATGGCAGTCGGTGACCAACAATTAGTTCATACACCATTGGTTTGGAATGAGGGTTTTCCAACTCCCCTAGGTGAACTCTCCATTATAAGTTACTTATCTTACTTCAGCATTATATTATCACATTTAATAATTGATTCCTCTTTCAATATAGCTTATGGCTGATTTCAGTTTGATTGGATTTCCTAACGCTGGTAAATCCAGTTTATTAAAAGCTTTATCTGGTGCACCTGCAAAAATTGCCAGTTATCCTTTCACTACGATCAAACCACAAGTTGCCAAATGCATATACTCAGATCATCGTAAGATAAGTATAGCAGATTTACCAGGTAAATATCCGTACAAATTAAATTTAAATTGTTACTGTATTCATTAATTTTCGGTCCAGTATAAGTTCTGACAATATTTTATGTGTTCAAATCATCATTGCTGATGTATTTATATATAAAGCAAAAAGTACATTCACTGAAGAAATCCTTTTTGACTTTACTTTCATATAGTCTATAAACAAATTGCATGTTTACATAGAATACATAAAGTATGTCTAGCAGTGAAATTCAGGACACGTGTTTCATCCTATTTGAGACTCGTCAGCTGAATGCACCTGCATCTCAGAGTTGATATTCACTTCGGGACTCGAACTCACTAGTGTTCGCTTCGAACATCATCACGTTATCCACTTAGCTACTGAATCCAGATAGTCACTCAAATTTCAATCTATATGTTAACATTAGGATAATCCAAACTATTGAAAACTAGAGTGAAATTTTTACAAGCTGCACAAGTAAGTGGCTAACATTTGAAACAAACGCTAGTGGGTTTGAGTTTCGAGGTGAATTGCAACTCTTAGAAGAGTCTGGTACATCCAGCTGATGAGTCCTACACAGAATGAAACGCGCGTCTTAAATTCCACTAATAATCAGATTTCATGTATTCCATATAAACTTGTATCATAGTAACTACATTGATACACATATATCAACAAAGACTGATCACATTTCAGTTAGTATATGAACAGTGTGATAATTTAAACCGCTATTTTTGAATTAAGACTGTGTTTATTAAAGTATTAAGCATGTGAGTTTTAGTCAAGAATTGACGAAAACGTTCTATGGGATTAGTTATAGGATAGAGATTAAAATTTCGAACACTTGAGATATATTCATTAAGATAAACACTGTGTTCATGACCGAAACGTTGGAGTAAAGGCCATATAATATGAACGAAAGCCATGAGTTCCAAGTGGGTTTTTTCTAAATATTATTCATCTGAACACATAAACATTAGTACAAGGAGGCACCAAATAGATATGCTCGACATAAAGCATTCGATTTGTGTAAGGGCTGTTATACTGTCCGGGTGCCCAAATCGAAACAGGTGGTCGTTTAGGGAGCCACACCCGGAGCCGAACATTCGTCTTCCATCCTCTCAATTTTGTAAACAACACCCCGCCTCGAGAAGGCAGTGAGTAGAACTTCCTTGGTAGTGGTTGTATGTATATGGCCATGTGAGAGCATTTGGAGAGGGAGAGCTGACTCTCCCCACTCTCGGCCGTACCAGGGCATTTGGGGAAATTACGTCTGATAATATAGTTCATTGAATAAAAGAAGTGAATCTGACAATAAAATATGGTCAGTCTGAAGTTAATATAAGAAACGTGAAAGATCTGATAAACTATTCTGTTAACACAGATCAGGGTTTAAATTTTGGATGGCTAAATGTTCTATAGTGTAAAGTAGGTTAAGGTGTGAACTTTTTACAAACTTTGACTGGACCTTGTAGATAGCGTCAAAGGGTTAATCAAGTAGTGAATATCTTGATTTACTACTTGCAACAGGATTGGCGACGTAATTTATATGAGCCATATTGGAGCATGCACCAATCTAGTCACAATTGACGGAGATTTGGAAAATGTAAGAATCTTTACATATTTAGGCAGCATCATTGATAAACATGGTGGATCTGATGCAGATATGAGGGCACTGATCGACAAAACAAGAGCAGTATATTTACAAATGAAGGACATCTGGAACTCAAAACAAATGTCAAGACAGTTCTTCTGTATGGGGCGGAAACCTGGAGAACTACGAAAGCCATCATTCAGAAGTTTCAGGTGTTTATTAACAGTTGTCTACGCAAAATACTTCGGATCCGTTGGCCGAACACGATTAGCAACAACCAACTGTGGGAAGGAACAAACCAAATCCCAGCGGAGGAAGGAATCAGGAAGAAGCACTGGAAGTGGATAGAATATACATTGAGGAAAGCACCCAACTGCGTCACAAGACAAGTCCTCACATGGAATCCTCAAGGCCAAAGGAAAAGAGGAAGACCAAAGAACACATTACGCCGGGAAATGAAGATAGGCATGAGAAAAATGAACAACGATTGGATGGAACTAGAAAAGAAGGCCCAGGATAGGGTGAGTGGGTTGAAGAATGCTGGTCGGGGGCCTATGCTCTATTAGGAGTAACAGGCGTAAGTAAGTAAGTAATATTGGAGTATGCTCTTGGACGAGGTAAAGAGGAGGCCTTGACGAATGATCTACATACCCAGTTCTATAGAAGCAGGTAAACTGGTGTATACACATAGAATTGATCGGCCATGGCAACTTATCTTTCAACTGAAGCTGTATAACTGGGTGATCACCATATAACATGCAAAGATCTGCTGTATAAGTTTGTCTTTCAAAAAGATTTTTCCAGACAATTTATATATATATCACCACTGGCACCCGCTTTAAACTCAAGATTTATGATTATGGTTTTTTGTGGGACTATGAAATCATAATCTTTATTATATCAATGTATAGTGATAATCCTTAGTTATAATTGCTACACATTGTATCATTAAAACAAAGATAATAGTTGACTATATTAGATTTACATTTAACTAGTCATAAATTTATTATAGATTATTAGTTATTAAATTAAATTTCATAAAGCGAATTTTATGGAAAAATTTTTGGATTCCTGAACGGAATTCGTTACAGATTTATCTCAGTTGGAGTACCATGGAAGACCGAGGAGCGCCAGACATATGTTTCGTCCTATGGTGAGGCTTCTTATCAGCACGAATTCACTGAGGTTGCAAATATGTACAGTTGGTCATTAATGCGGTCGTGAAACCTGAATATCCTGTGTCCAGTAGTAGATGCGCGCTTCATAGGAGTTTCATACTAAAACGAAACATTGCTCTAGTTCACCATGGTTATCAATAGTATCCTAATATAACTTTATTCTGCCCTAATTGTTTACTGTTTGCTCGGATGTGATTTTTACCCCAAAACATGTTTTATTTATCTGAACACATAAAAATAGGTACAAGGGGGCACTAGATACATATTCACTACACGTCTGAGTTCTGCTCGAAGCGAGCATGGTACTTTGTGAATTAATTGTCATCTCATCAAAGTTGTGTGAGGGCTGGGATACTGCCCGGGTGCCCAGACCGAAGCCGGTGGTTTTCCTAGGGGGCTACATCCTGAGCCTTCAACCTAAAGGTTTGATCCACAAGGCAGTGGAGCAACATAAGGAGATTCACTCTCATGGTAGCCGGTGACCAACGACTATTTTATACACCATTTGTTCCTTCAGGATACTAGAGCCCATGTACACCATTGGTTTGGAATCAAGGTTTTCCAACTGCCCTAGGTGGACTCTTCGTGTCCACCAATATCGTAAATAGCAATAATGCCGCGAGATGGCAGTGAGTAGGGCTTTACTGGCAGTGGTTGTATGCACATGGTCATGTGAGAGTATTTCGAGAGGAAGCGCTGACTCTCCCCACCCTCGGTCGTACCAGGGCATTTGGGGGGCAAATAAAATATAACGTCATTAAGAATTTCTATGTGGTAATCTACAACTGGTAAGTTATTGCTTGTGATGAGAATATCTGATCCCTTTAAATTCACATTCCATTATAATTTTTATTGTATTATATATAATCGGTTTGTTTGTATTAATTTATTCTATCTTTACATTATTTGTTCTAGGTCTTGCTGATATTTATGCTCATTATGATACACAAATAAATCAAAATAATAATGATCAATCTAATTCAAATGTATCTTTACCAAGTTTAAAACATACAAACTTTTTAAAACATGTTGAACGTAGTTCATGCATACTTCTTGTATTAGATTCACTTGGTTTTTGTAAAGATCAATTTAGTTCTAAACGTAATGCATTAGCTGTTGCTTATTTAGTTTTAAATCAGATGGAACGATGGTCTAATGGTTTACTTCTTGAAAAACCAATGGCTTGTATTTTGAATAAAGTAAGTTTAATTAATTAAATAATTATATATTTATCTTTATATTGTACAAGTTTTATTTTACTGTGTATAGATTAATGTCATTAAAATGAAACTGTTCAACACACTGTTGTAATGTGGGTGACTGCAGGGTTTTGATAAGCAGCGTTTTATATCGATCGCCTCTGTGACACGTAAACACGTAATGAACGATCTAGTATCCCGATTGGCTCTGCTTCCCTGTCTATCCCAGCCAGTTGAGTCCAGAACGAAAGTCACAGCCCCTGAGATATGAATCATTGTATTTCAAACACACTGTTTATATACTAACCAAGCAGACCACATCGTACCATAAAAATAGAAAACAACATTTACACAATATTAAACAAGTGAAGTAAATATTGACCAATAGGGAATGTACATTTAGCGTCCAAGGACAACATTAGACTTAACATGATAACTATTGGTATATTTTTTCTGCACATCCTAACACACACATTCTTCCCAATTGAAGCATTATTATTCATGTAAATGTTATTTATTTATTTATTTCAACACATAGATAATGGTACAAAGAGGCACCAAATACATATGCGCCACATAAATCTCATTCGATATGTGTGAGGGCTGTGATACTGCCCGGGTGCCCAAACCGAAGCAGGTGGTTTTCTTAGGGGGCCACACCCCGAGCCTTCGACCTGAAGGTCTGATCTACAAGGCAGTGGAGCATCGTAAGGAGATGCAGTCCCATGGTAGTCGGTGAACAAAAATTGATTCATTCGCCATTTATTCCCGCAGGATACTGGAGCCCATGTGCACCATCAATTTGGAATCCGGTTAAAGCGCCGGACATTCGCTTTTTGTCCTCACATTTTCGTAAACAACACCCCCACCACGAGAAGGCAGTGAGTAGGACTTCCCTGGCAGAGGCTATATACGCGTGGCCATGTGAGAGCATTTTGAGAGGGAGAGCGGACTCTCCCCACTCTCGGCCGTACCAGGGCATGTAAATCTTACCACATGACATACCCATCATTAAAATGATTAAAAGTATTTACAATCGAACTAATGGATTGTGATAAACCATTTCTTTTTGTCATAAAACGGTAGTGGCGTCATAGCTGTTGGAAGGAAGTGCAAAGTTTTAAACGTATGCTTATTCAGTTAAATCAACAAATGTTCTAGCGTTTGTTGTGTTAAACAATTTTATTTCAAATAATAAATACTTGTTTGTCATCACCTTACAGTTATTATTGTCATCAACTAAGTGTATGATCATTACCGTTACATTCTTACATCCTTAGATTGATACTACCGGTGCAATGGATGAAGCTTTAGAAACAAAATATTGGCTTGAACGTATGGATTCATCTGAAGCAAAACAACATTCACAACTTCCTCCAAAGTTGTTACCTAGTCTGACACCGAAATTTGAATCGATCGAACTGGTCTCTGCTTTGCGTCACACAAATATTCCAGGTAAATTGTAATCTCATTGACTGATTGGATTATAGGATATTACTATTACTATTTGCAGTAATTTTTTATGTGAAGCAACTAAGTCGTTATTGACATAATGCACTAATTTTTTAGTACTTCAAAATCCTTTGTTATATATAATCAGTTCGTTCTGTCCTACACCACGGCTGTGATACGTGACCATAAAGAGTAAAAGATACTCGTAAGCTACTGGTATTTGACCACCGATGCCTTAGAAAGATTGGTCGCATTTTCTTGGATCATCGATCAGGTAATAGTGAGATTAGACACAGGATATTAGGGAATAATAGTAAATCACTTGATGAGGTTGTAAATTTTCATCGACTGAGATGGTTAGGCCACGATACGTAATGCTGACTAGTGTTGAAGATAGTCGGAAGAAAGTTAGGGGCAGCCAAACCAAAATGTGGCATCAGTGCTTAAAGTCACTAACTTCTAGTCTGATCCATGTTAGTAGATGTATACTACTTGGTTGGAGTTCTCGTGACCATTATAACCATTGGTTGGAGAATGGGTGGTATGGCTCATAATCGATCACAATGACGTAGATGTATACACTCTTTGTCTTCCTTTAAACTATAAGATTAAAATTGCTTTATATCTTATTAGAAATCCATTATTCTCATCAAATTTCGTACACTTAATGTTGATCAAATGGCTTGTTTTGTTTTTATTCCGACTATCTTCTAAAAGTCACAACATTGATGGTATAACATATAAACTAAATTTTGATTAGCTTATGAATTGTCAGTTTATTATATCACATTTGATGGGTATACGTACTTATGATTTGTTGATTGTTAATAATTAACTGTATGATTTGTACAACATTTACTCCCAGTCTGTATCTCAATACAGTTTGTATTATTGGTAACTTGCATTTGGTAACTCAGTCAAACAACAAGTCTGTTTGAAATCTCACTTTAAAAATTATTAACAGGTCAGTCAGTCAGTAACAACGTAGAACTTCGTACGTATGTACATCAGTTCGAGTTGCCACACCACCTTAACACAGAGATGCAGTTGTCGATTCAAATCCCGTAGTGGTAGAGGTAGCAAGAGTGTAAGCAGTGATCGAGAAGATTAGGGTTTGGAGATGTTATTTAAAGAGTATAATTCAAGGTAGCAGCTTCGGTCGGGATTATTATTAACAGGTTCTGGTTAATAAATAAAAAAAAATGGAATGATCCATAACAACAAAACAAGTTTATTGAAATGATGAATTATGTCAATATCGTCAAATGGTAGTATCTTAAATTCACTAATAAACTTGTAAAATATCTACATATTATTAGGTAACTGTATACTAAATTCAATTCCTGTAGTCAGTAGAGGTATCAACATAAATTCTCTTCTATTATCAAACATGAAGAGAGATCAATTTTTAATATCATTGATGCTAATGACCTGAAATTGTACTTCATCATTAGGAAGCGAATGCCAAAAACAAAAATTATCGACTGCTCCACACCATCTTGTCAAAAAGATTCTGGATATTAAAAAAAACTAGTGAAGTGTATATGCAAACTATAAAAAGATAATGACTGATCAAAATCATACCGTGTCACTTAAACAGATTACTAAGTTATCACAGTAATTCTTCTAGTTCACTTCTTAGTTAAAGTTCACACAAGTATTATTGTGTTACATACCGATGAAGGCTTCGTCAGTCAATAGTCGAATTCGAAGAATATACTGTTTTGATGAGACGAATATTAGGGAAGCGGTAACTTTTGAGACTAATTTACGGATTACTATTGTTGTACATACTTTTATTACGTGATCATCTCATAACTCGAATATTTCCAGATCTGTTTTACCCGTATTGTAAGCTTTCATAGACTCACTAACTTATGTTATATGTTTTACTCAGACAGTCAGTCAGTCACTAACTGAGTTTTACTACTCCCTATTTATTACTTGTTAATTATCCACCTACTGTTCCACTTTCTATCACTTACAACCTGATTGTGTGTAAAGAATGGTTTCTGGAAAAATAGCTGTCTGCTACCTTGTTATATGACCGGATTGAATCCTGGGATTTGAAGCAGACGCGTTCTGATCTTTTAGATGTTTACATGATTTGGTGACTGTTCAAAGCTTAAGATGTTGGTGTGTAAATGAAAAAGTATACTTACTGTGGATAATTGTAAACCGGCATCTTATTGGTAAATATTGTCAAGTGATTAAGAAATCTATAGAATAACTAACTAGGCATAAAAAATATATCATCGCTGTTATGACCTTGAATGTCTGGCTTTTCTATCACGCGACTTATCGACCAGTGAGAATACGACTTATACGATTTTGCACTATGCCAACCAATGACGTTGAACCGGTATGAGCAGTTTAGCGTCCTTATTGGTCCTATGTCCTTCTATCCCTTCCACTCGATTCCAGAACACAACACCAGCTTCTGTAATATGAATCGAACCGAATCGTTTATTTCAGACACTCGGTTTAAATATCAACCAGACAGACCACCACAACGTACCATAAAATAGAAAATAACATGTGTACACAAATAAGCCAAAAAGTGGCTGTGAACGAAGGGGACAGTAATTAATAGACTGAACATAGTTTAAGAACCGTAAATCGTACAATAATAAATTATAGATCAAAATAAAGCTTATAATAAGAGGGATATAAATATACATAATCTAATGATTGAATAGTTTTACAATAAGAATATTTATAGAATATTAGTCCATTATTAGTTGTCGGAAGTTACCTGTAATTTAATCTCCACCGGGTTATAACAATCACAAAAATCCATCCTAATTTATATGTCCGTTCGGTGCGTTCTAAACATCTACAGTATGACAATTTGTGTAAAACATTTGAAGACAGTATGCCAAACTTGACGTGCACATTTTCAACTATTCATCTTGTAAACCTTGTTTCATAAGTCAAAGAAAGTAGAAAACTTGCTTCTAGTTAGAAGCCATAACCAGTAAAGTACAGTCTTGTTGGATGTGAGGCAATTATCTACCAATAGCATTATATTAATGATCGTTGAATCTCACGAGCTCATTGGAGCTAGAGAAATAAACTATTGGATACTAAACTAGTTGATTAAAGGTCAAGCGTTCGTCGAGAGACCTAAAGATCCTCTGTTCACCCCCTGGTACGATTGTGGGTGTGCACTGCTGAAGATTTTCAAACTAGAAAGAAAACGTTATCCATTGCTTCCATGTGTTCAATGATTGTATAAGATAGATCGCTTCATGGTTTTAATAACTTTCTAAGTAAATCACCAATGTTGTTGTCATTTTTTTCTCTCTTAGAATTGAAAGAGTCATTGCGCAACTGGCTTGATCAAATTGAATTAAGAAAGCGTAAAGACAACACAACTGTACAAATAAAATCACAACAAACGAAAGAAAAAAGATTCTTAAGTGACATCCAACCAACTTACTACTAAGGTCTTTTTTATTCATTTCTTTGGTTTCTTCTGTTTCATATCTGTACTACTTTTGTTACCTATGTGTGCACTTGATTAACTGTATATAGAAATGAATTTTTTTATTTCAAAGTTTTCTTTGTGATATAAAACACAGGGATAGTTTCATATTCCTTTATAGATATTACATTTACCGTTGTTTGCTTGTCCTGTATATACAGAGAGATACTTCGTAAAGCTTTTTGAAATTCCTGCTTCTAGTGACTTGAAAAATCATTAGAGTTTTGTTCGGTTAATATTAAAAACTAGTTGTTGTCAGAGCATGAAGAAAATCAGGTTAATGAGATCTGATTTGAGTTTCGTATCTTTCAGTTTTCAGATTCAACACTAGAAATCCGATCCCAAATACTAACGCCGTTTCATTTTGGGATAGAGTCCAAACCTCGTCTTCAATCGGAAACTAGTTTGTTGCAGTAGGATTCCGAGGTATATAACATTATGGGTACTCGTTGTTGACGAGTTCAAGGTTATGATAAAATGATTGTCAAAGGCCTTGTATCTTGATTTGGTTCACCGTATTCAGGCAGCCAATTGAAAGAGGTCTTCGTATTGGATATATAAAGACCAACGTGGGACAAAAAAGGCTATTTTCCAAAAACAAATCATATTTCAATTCATGGCATTTATCAAATATGGAAGCTTTAGTTGCTTATTAGACGAAATGTGCTGATTATCCGGAGCCTGGTCATGCACGTGATTCACGTGGCAAGTGTATGGTCTTAGGATCTTTGACCCCACTAACAAAATAGTCGCACATTTAACTCTGGATTCTTCAGGACAATTACTTCATAGTTAAGTGCTTTTAATTGAGAAAATTGTTTACATGTTGTACGTATGTTCAAAATTGTAATCAATATCAGTAAAAACGTTGTTGAGTACTAGGTGGTAATACGTTCATCAATGACTGGTCAAATCAACGTAGAGATATGATAGAGACTGCAAGACTTGGTTGTGAAGATGTAGTCATTGCAATTATTTCCTCTCCATATAAGCAAGTTCTATCAGCAACCTTAATGATATCATGAAAGGTCTTTATAAGCAATACGTCTGACTGACACATTACGCCAGTTTGGACAGTAATGTAGATTCGATATATGATCAGATAGATTAAGCAGTTATATTATGTCGAGTCAACTATACTCTAACTATAAGTTTGTTACATAGATGAGAGCATTGACATCGAACTTTGGTATGAGTCCCATATGAAAATTACATCCTTCGACCATGATATCAAAGTTTGGCAGATCGTTCGGCATATATTTCTTTTATTGTTTTAGCACTGACCTAAATGTTATCTTGGTCTTACGCTTAACTATGGTCAGTGATAGTTTTAAGATCCATCGGGAATGTTTTGTGTGTTTGAGAAAATCCCTCCATGAGCATACTTGCACTTTGTTCCTATTGATCCCTTAGTTGTACATTGCTAGTTTTTGATTACATTTGAATTGTTAATATTTGTATTTTATTATAGTCTCTATTTTTACTACACCTTCACTAATTCCCCGTGTTTCTTCCCGAACTGCACTGATGTTATTTTACTTTATAATTGGCCTTGGTGTCAGCGATATTGGTTTGTTCCTCAATTTGATTGCTTTACCTGTGTCGACTGAAAATGTGCATTTTTGGTTGTGAATTGAGGCACTCTTCCAGAATTGAAAACACTGTGTTATAGAGCGACCAATCATTACCTTTTGAACGAATCTGTACGTGGTCTATCCAGACAGGATAGAATAACATTTATTTGTTGTGATTGGTAATTTTCTTGCATCCTTTATCAACTTTCTTATTTATTGTAAATTAGATTTGATCAATTGAACAATTATTGGTTGGATAGCTGAGTGTTTTATTTGTTTAGGTAATAATGTACACTTAAATTTATGATAAATTATAGAACCGTCATCTTACCCAATTACTTTGTTTTGGTTTCAAACGGGCGAGGGCGCGTATCTAACTCATCCAGACAGTTGTCCATCAGTCCAACCGTAGTTTGGGTCTTACAATAGTTGTATGTCATACGTGATGGCTCAATTTTTTGTCGATATCATTAATGTCTTAAGTGACTGGGATGCTAACAAAAGTTCTGTCTTGAGGTACTGTAGAGGAGACTCTAAGGATAACATCTTTCCCCGTGAAAAATAAAACCTCCCGGATTTGACTGTAGTTTCCTATCGGGAATAATTTGATGAACTTTTGATTTCCGTCTTGTTTCAGGAGCCTCCATATGTAACATGGTCCTCTTCTTCCTCAAAGCAAGAATTCTATGACTATTACTGACATACAGACGACGCAATATTGTCTGTTTATTATTAAGTGTTACGTCAAAATATCACTGATCTGTTATTGAGGTGTAGTCGTTTGATACCAACCTAAACTAAAAAGAGGAAATAGTTGTAGATATTTAGGAAAGTCCGCAGTGAGACTTGATGCGAATACAGGCAACAAAGTGTCGAAATATCACCATTTTCCTGAACCCGGTGTAGACAGTGCATGGTTATCCTGAAATTTCCCCTGTGAGAGGAAATGTCTCGAAATTAACACGTTTATCTCCCCCAAAACTTCACGAGGGTAAACACTGAACCCAAATAAAAGATAACCAAATGTCAGTTCAGATACCAAACATTTATTCGGAAATTACGATTAATCATTAGTGACCTACTTTTATCAAGAGAACACGATTGGTTTGATGGAAACAATTATCATTGTACCAGTGATTGTTTTACCGTACTTGTTTGTTTAACTGTTCTAAGGACATTCTTCCTTCCGTTGATTGTGACCTTGTGCGAGTTCGGTTACACTCAGTAACCACACTTGTACTCCTTTCACACGATCTCGGTATTCTTTCGATACCACGAGATCGCCAACAAATACATCTCGACTGCAGCGATCAACAGCCTTCTGATATTTGACTTACGGGAGATCTTATCAGTTAACTGGCATGTAGTCTTCCTGTAGTGGTTATCATAGTCGACCGCGACTCGACTCCACGCTGCAAATCTACCCACATATATTGTTCTAACAGTGATTCTGACAAACTTTCAGGTTTCAAGGGGGGAGCAATTCGTGGCTAGGGATAAGCTGAATTCTCATTTGCGCCTTAAAATTAGCAACCAAACAAGAGGAAGCGGGAATGGTTATCCGCGCAGTTGCAGTCCATGACGGCGTACGTGTTACATTTTTGCTGGTGTTGTAATCAAACGAAGTATGAATGAATGGTAACTGTTGAGAATTATTCATGGACTATCATGAAATATATTCTAACACAATTGTAGTGACTCACGTTTATTACGAGAACACGACTGGTTCAATAAAAACAATTATTATTATAAACAGTTGTACCAGTGTTTATTTTAATGTGCTTTTGTTTGACTGTGCTAATGACAGCTATATTGGGCTTCCATTCTTGTTCACACACTTCGATTGTAATTTCGCGCGAATTCGGTTACCTTCTGTAACCAAGCTTGTATCCTGGCACGATCTCGGTATCCTTTCGATACCACGAGATCGCCAGTGAATAAATCCGAACTTGGTCCATTTTCTGCCTTCTGATATTTGGCTTCTCGGGGTTTTTATGGAGTCATTTGGAACGAGCTTTTTGATAGCGGTGTACATAGTCAATCGCGACTCGACGCCACGCTACAATTGGTGATCCCAAAGTTTGGAACACGCCTCAACCTCTGGTAAAATCTACCAAAGAAGCCAATTTGGTGAGTCTGTTATTTATCTATCCACGTCTGTCGTATATTTTCATATTATCTTTTAATACATAATATACTCGACATGACGGATAACGATAAGAATAGTATTAATATAATAGACTCCCACGTATGTGTACCGAATCCTTGTCACTTTTTATTCGCGTGACGGTAAATCCCACGCTTTATTCGATTCTCCTCGCTGACCCGGCTGCTTGGTACGGAATGCATACGCTTAAGCATATCCGTCTACCACCCAGCACCAAATGGTTAAGTTGAACGGTTTCACTGCCCACTTAAAAGTGCTCTACGAGCACACGAAAACGGCAACTGGCACGAAACCTTACCGCTCGTTATTTTAGGGATCGGAACGAGCTTAAAGGCAGATATCCAATGTTCCGCCGCTGAACTTGTATACGGCACGACATTGCGTCTGCCCGGAGAATCCTTCACACCACGGAGCAGACCTGATTTCGGTAAATCAGACTACGTCCATCGACTGTCTGCATTTATGCGAACGCTGTCTCCGGTGTCAACTCGAATACAACATCGACAGGTCGCTCTCCCTCGAGAGTTATCTGCCTGTTCACATGTTTTCTTACGAGTAGATTCGGTACGCAAACCTTGGCAACAACCTTACGAAGGCTCTTTCCACGTGATCGCTCGTCACGAAAAGACCTTCAAGGTTGATCGATATGGACGCGTCGAAATCGTCAGCATTGATCGTCTCAAACCAGCACACGTCGATGACAGTGCCCTATCTGATAACCTGAGATTCAATGCTAGACCTATCAAACCTACTAGCGGGATCCTCAAACCATCTTCAGGTCTCACGCTAGATACATCTGAGGCCTCATTCTCACGTCCCAGTCAACAGCACGCGTCATCTGCACCGTCTACGGACGAGACAACAGTCTCACGTCCAGATCAGCAGACCACGCCGCCTTTGACTTCGGATGAGATTGCAGGCTCACGCGACGCGAACGAGACTACTGTCTCACGTTCCGGTCGCCGAGTACGGTAGCCCGTACGCTTCCGTGACTAGCCGCACAGTCAACAACCGATACGGTGTAGGATTATTCCTATACTACACGCATGCTACACTCTTCTTTTATTGATTTCTTTTTGTTTCCTGAGCCCACGCCTTCGACCATCTCCGTTTGGTTCCGTCGACTTCAGTCAACTTTGGCGAAAGCTGGACTGGCCACCCACGCTCTTGTCAACGCACTCAGTCGATATATTGGTTTCGAATGTTTGGCATACGTTTGG